CCTGTTGTTGGGGACGGGGCGTTGGCGGGGCACTGCCGGGCTGGCCCGCGGATCCCGGAGTAGGCTGGGGTCTGAGCCGTGCGGCCTGGCGGACAGGTTATGTTTTTGGTGGCCCGACGACTCAAGCCAGTAGCCGGAATCCGGTTCCTGGCACACGGCCTTCAAACCCCGAAGCGAAGGGTTTGCACCTCGGGGCCCAGGCCTGCGCCTGCGCAGACGGACACCTCCCACGCGGCCCCTGGATCCCGCGAGTAGCTCGCGGTTGCGCAGGGCGACGCGGAGAGCGCTCCGCCCTGCTCCGGGTCCCCAGAGTGGGGCTCGGCCCTCGGGGTCCCCCTGGAGTCAGTGGGGCGGGAAAGGGGCTGAGATCCCAGGGTAGGGGTCCCAGATTGAGGTCTGGAGAGGACCCAGAACCTCTGGGTCCACGTCTAGGCGTCCATGGTGGAGGAGGCGGGCGATGGAGATGGCTCTGGGGCTGAGATGGCCTGCCTCCCCTGCATGCTCCAACCAGCCTTGCATGGGCGGCTCTTGTCTGCAGGGTCTTGGGAGGCGTGGACCTTGCCCAGCCGCGAGCAACCCCAGGCGCTAGGCCCCTGTCCTCACCACAGACCGGACTCCTGGCCAGCGATGGCCAGGGCCTGCAGCCCGCCGGGACGCTGTTGTCCCGCCTGCTTGCGGATGGTTTCTTGCAAGAGGATTCTCCTCCCATCAGCTCTGCCTTGGGAGCCGGAGGGTCTGGCACCCTCCTGCATGGCCTGGCAGCTGACTTGTCTGTGCTCTGTCTCAGGCCTCCTGGACCCTTCCCCGTTGTGGAAGAACCTCCTCCACCGCACTCCCAGGGGATGCAGTGAATCCCAGCCCCCAAACTGCCCCCCACCCAGAGTTGTCTTTTCCAGTAGGTGCTGGAGAGGTGTCCAGGCGGGTCACCCTGCCCCACTCCGGGGTCCCTGCCCCTGTGGCCCTGACTGCAAATTGCAGTGGGAGTGACCAATCTGGGCATCATGGGCCAAGGGGCCTCCCTGGGACCTGGCTGGTCCCTGCCTTGTTTTTGTGAGCTACCCTGGAGCCAGGCCCCCACCACAGCAGGGCGAGCAGGGGCAGCAGGGCCCCAGAGGAAGAGAAAACTAGGGCAGGGGAGGAAGCCAGGGGAGGATAATATAGAGGAAAATGCCTGGAGGCTGAACTTGCTGTGAGGGGCTGCATAGAGGGGACAGAGAGAAGAGATGAGATGGGTGGCTGAGAGAGGGAGGGTGGTGCCAGGGGCTGGCCTGAAGAGCAGAATGGCAGACCCCTGAGAAGGTGGGTGGGAGCTTGGCCTGGTTGTGCACCTGGAGTCCTGGGCTGGCTTCCCTGCTCCCCTGGGGCTGAGTTCTAGGGCAGATAGACAACACCACACTGAAAAACCAGCCCAAAACACCACTTAGTGTCTTGGTGCCAGCCATGGATGGGAGGAGCCAGGACTGAGTGACCATGAGGACAGACATCCAGGGAGGGGAAAAAGAGCCCTGGGGCAGAGTGATGTTGGAAAGGCAAGGACACCCCTTCCTGTGGGGCTCCTCAGCTGGCCCCTGGGCACTGGGGCATCGGAGCATCAGGCTCACTGCCCACCTCCCCCTCCCAGCCTCAATCCATGTGGCCTGAGGGCCCACTCCTCCCTGTCTCCTCAGCACATCCCCCAACCTGTCTCAGGCCAACCTGCCTCCCCCGTGGCCCAGCCACGCGCCTGCGAGATGCGGAGGTTTCTACTGAAGCCCAGTCCCCATAATCCAAAGCACAGCTGGCTTCTAAGGAAACAGGCTTTCAGTACACACCTTTCTCCCTCTGTGAGAAAGTGGAGAGCAGGGAAAACATCTTGAAAAGGAAAACCCACATCTGACAATTTCTGCAGAACTCAAACTGTTTTCTGATCCAGTATAGTAACTAAAATGGCAAACCTACTTCCATCAAACTGTCCCATGAATTTCTTAGAAACCTTCCAAAATAATTAACAGCTTCTAGGTGAAGCTTAAACTTAAACCTTTGCTTGGGACATTTTACAAAATTCCAGACAGTCAACTTAAACAACAGACATTTACTTCTGTCGGTTCTAGACGCTGGAAGTCTGAGATCAGGGTGCCAGCATGGTTGTTTCTGGTGAGGGCCCACTTCCTGGCCTGCAGACAGAGAGAGAGGGAACTGACCCCCCCCACCTTATGATCTCATCTGACCCTAATTACCCCCAAAGGCCTACCTGCAAATACCATCACACGGGGTTAGAGTTTCAATTTACTAATCAGCGAGAGAATCTACTGTTGTTTAAGCCACCCAGTTTGTGGTGCTTTGTTCTGGGAACCCAGGAAAACTGACGTTCACACAGACTCTGCCAGCCTGACCAGAAGGCCCAGAAATGGCCAGTCCTGCATTATTTGGTGACTGGCTTCTCACCCCACATTTCGTCTTGGGCTCCACTGGTGGGTCTGTGTCCTGCTGCAGTAGGTGCTGCCTCTCAGTCCTACATCAGCAGGCTTGGATGTTGGTGCCAGACCTTGCCTGTTACAAAAAGCACTTCTGGAAACATTCTTGTCCATGTGTTTGGATACCTTGTGCACACATGTCTACATGTGTACCTTTACTTCTTAGAAAACAATCCCAAACAGCTCTCCAAAAGTAAAAGTTCACACTTCTACCAGCAGGAGACTTCCCTCTCTTCTGCTGCCCACTTTTGCCAGCCCTGGACACCAGCAGTCTCACATCCCAGCCTCTCTGGTAACGGTGCAGAGGTATCTACGTTGCTGTGGCTTTTGCCACCCAGTGGCGAGGGAGGCCAGCACCTGGTCCCAGATCGGTCTGCATCTGCAGCTGTTCTGATGAGACACTGCTAGGTGTCTTTGTCACTTTTTTATTGAGTTCTTTTCTTATTGATTTATAGGAATTCTTTATGCATTCTGGAAGTGACTCCTTTGTCAATTACAGCCCATTCTGTCTTCTTAAACTTACTCTCTATAAAGTCGCCACGAACTTAGAATCCCTGAGTCCTCGAATGCTGATCAGCCACTCTGGGGAAACTCGGAGTTGCTTCCTGCCAGCCTCTGGTCACAACATGTTCACCAATGGGTCAACACGGAACCCCGTTGCATGTGTTTTCCGTTCAGGGCCACCTATTGGAGGCACACTGTTGACTCACCAGCACTGACCCCCGGCCAGCGGTGCTGTCCCTTGTCCTGAACGGAGCTCACCCGATGCCAGAGCTCCTCTGCCGGGCACGGCCCAGTTTCTTGCACAGAACGCTGGGTGGAACGAGTACGTGGCTGGGGCCTGTGTAAGCAGCAAAATCACCAGCCGAGAGCACAAGAGTGGAAATGCAGCACCGAACCAGCAGGAGGAGGACACGCTCACAGGTGAGTGGACACAGGAAGGCCAGGTCTTGGTTTCCAATGCTCGGCACACGGCCACAGGCGACCTCAAAGGTGCCGTGAGGGTAGATGGTGGGGACAATGGGTCTTCGCAAAGACAGGACCCAGAAATATTGGGATGGACTGCATCCACACCCTCCTGCACATCACCTTCTCAGTGGTGGTTCTGGGTCAAAGGCATTCTTTATTTCCCTCTGTGCCAGCTGGTCAGCCTTTCCCTTCTGGGAAGGGCCTTTGAGTCCTGTTCAAGCACCTGCCTGCCCTGAGGCTATGAAGATGCTCCTGTCTGAGGAAGAGAGCTGTCTGTCTCCAAGTGTACACCTGCCAGCCCCCAGGCAGTGTGGTGTGAAGTGGGTCTCATGTCCACTCAGCCGACACATGGCCAGTCAGCGTGATGCGGGCCAGTCCAGGTTTGGGGCAGCCTGAGGTTGATGGGCTGTCTTTAAGAAAAATGCAAAATTATTATGATAAAATTAGATACACATTTTTTCAGAATGAGAGAAAATCACAACAAAGTGAACATTAAAAACACTGACAAATGGCACAAACATCACAAAATCCAGGAAAAAAACCCTACAACTTTCATTCATAACTGCTTCCTACTCCACGATTGATTCTGTTTTCATCTACATTTTTATTGTCTGTTTTTATAACAATTTTGTAATATCATTGTCCAGGGAGAGAAGAGAGAGAAAAACTCTTTCCTGGTTGTGTCATGCACATTGTCAAGGCTGCTGTCAAGCCTGGAGACAACTTTGTTGAGTCTGTTTCATCTGGAAGCTGGGACGGCTCGGGGTAGTGCACTTTTCTTGTGTCATGACTCATCCAAAACGCCCTGTGCTCTGACGGGCCTTCTTACATGGTGCCCTTGTCACACTGACTATGGGGTCCGCTCTGTCTTGTCGGTGTCAGCGTCTCCTGTGAAGTCAGCAGGATGTCCGATCCTTTCCCCAAAGTGCACATGACTTGCTCCTTCCCCTGGCTAACTGCCAGGGGTGTTCCTGGAAGCTGTTTTCTGCACCTGTTGACTTCGCTAAGCAAGGAAGTGACAGTGAGGGACAGACATGTCCACGACCCACAGACATTCCCACCACTCAGCTTCCCCTTGGCCAGACCCCGAAAGTGCCACCCCAGCCCCACCCCAGCAAGAGGGGAAGTGTGATGGGGACCCAAGATAGTGTGGGAACCGCTGTGGTCATGCTGTCCTAGTTTAGCAAATGTCACAAAACCACGTGAGTATATGACCCAGGCCCTCATGAACCCAGGCCACTGTGTGGACCCACGTGTCCCTGCTGTGCCACGCCGTCCACGCGGTTCTGGCGGACAGTCCCAGTATAGGCTGGCAGAAGCCCTCTGCATGTGTTCCAGGCATGGGCAGGGCCATGTCCCCTCCAGAGGCTGCTCCTGGAGCCCTGTTCTGGGCCCTCCCCAACTCGTGGCCCCTCCTCCATCATCAAAGCCAGCAGGACTGAACCTTCGTTCTAAAATGTGTACCCAGGTTTGTTTTCATCAGACAGGGTGAGGTGACAGTCACGGAGACACCTGCCTTTGAAGAAAGAATTTATGACATTTCTCAAGAGGAGGGACCCCACGACATGCAGGGACACTGGGAGCACAGCTTTGGGTCAGGAAACAGAAGCAGGAATGGAGACAATGTGGCCCAGAGCCTTTATTGGGGTTTTCGCAGGAAGGGATGGGTGAGGCAGTCCAGGTACAGACAGTCAATTGAGGACTGGACGTTTTGAATAATTTTGGCAGTCTGAGCTCTGGGGACAGTCTCTGGCTGTTGGGTACATGGCCCTGGGGTGAGCTGGTGCAGATGGGACATCAGCATGGCATGTGAGAGGGGGAGAAGGGCTGGCAGGGGTGGGGGCTCTGGTCCCATCCATTTGTGGGGAGGCTCAGTTGGTTCCAGGAACTGGCTGGTCCAGGAAGGGCAGCCTCTCCAGGACCAAGACCCCGAGTGCCAGAGCACCCAAAATACTGAAAATAAGCCACTATCACCAGTACAGTTAGAGACAGACAGGGGGACAGAAGGGAAATCATTCTTACCTGCTTAGAGATACAGGCCAGATTTTTTTTTAAGAGAAAAATCAGGATTTTGTTTAAGAGAAGAAAGGTTGGTGGTGCTGCCTGGTCCTCTTCCAGCCAGAGACAGCAACAAAATGCCAAACAGAAAAATAAATGAATAAAGAAATGAGGAGGGAGAAAAGAATGGAAGACAAGACTGATGTAAGAGCATAGAGGGGAGAAAATAGACCCCTATTCTCCTGTTTTTCACCTGGAAAAGTTAAGGGTGTCTCACCTGGAAAACCATACTATGCCACTGTGGTCCCACCACCAGGACCCTGCTCCCCAGCACCCAGTACCAATATCCAGGATAATCTTCCATCTCCAGACCCTTAACTTAGTCACACCTGCAGAGCGCACACTCTGGGTCGTGGGGGTGGCTGGGAGCCAGTGCCCCCACACCCGTGTTCCCCTCACAACCCTGCATACGCCTTAGCCTCTGGGTGTATTTCGAGCCCCATGAGACACAACTGCTGTTGTATGTGTCGCTGCGTTAGGTTCATGTACAGTAGCCCCTTTGTGCTGCGTCTCATCCCTTCCTGCCTCTCCAGGGACAGGATCCTTCTTTTCCTGGAAGGACACCAATCACCGCTTCTGTAAAGGGGGTCAGTGGAGACACATGTTCAGACTTTGTTTCTCTGGAGTGTCTTTATTTGACCTCCGCTTTCAAAGTAGACTTTTTGCTGGAGGTAGAAGTCTGGCTATGAGTTACTTGCCTTGAAGTTTTTGTTTCCTCGTCTGCTGGTTTCAGTCGCCTAGGCTGGAAGTCAGTGTTCTCCCCTGTGGTTCCGCACTTCAAGGGTTGCAGGCCCTGTTTTCCTCCTGCTGCTTTGAAGGTGTTCCCTTTGTCTTTGGTTTCAGCTTTTCATTAGAAGCTTGGATTCTGCTTTCTTTCTACTTTTCCTCTGGCTACAGAGCACCTCTTGATTCTGTGGCTGGATGGCTTCCATCACTTTAAGAACATTATCAGTTCCTGTCTCTTCAGATGCTGTCTCTGTCACCAACCCAAGGGACTGGCAACAGTGACTGCCTCCGGGTGGGTTTTACTGACTGAGGGAGGACGTGCAGGGAAGGGGTCCTCCCCTGGGTTCCGAGACCTTCGGTTGGTGGGGAAGATGCTGTGCGCCCTCCAGGACAGGCAGGTGTACAGACACACACATGCAGCATCTGCATGCAGCTGACAGCTTAAACATCAACACCGCTGACTGCCACCTCCCCAACACCCAGGCCAGGCTCCCTGGCTGTCCTGAAGGGACGTCCACTTGGCTTCTTAAAGGCAACTTAGCTCTCTGACCACCCCTGCTGCTTTACAACCGCGCCCCTCTCCGAAAACGGCACACCCCCACGCTGCTGCAGTCAAATTCCTTAGGGTCACCAGTCCACCTTCCAAATGTGTCCCACATCTGACCACCTCTGCCCACCGCCCAACCATCGCAGGTCTGAGCCATGCGTTAGGCTCCTCCCTGCTCCGAGGGCCGACCTTACTTACGAAGCGTTGCAGATGACGGTTCTCACCCGTGCGGCTAAAAACCAGGCGCTTTCCAAGTGTCGTCCAGTGCCCACAGCGCGCTCAGCGCTTCAGCGCGGGAGGGGACAGAGGGGCGCTACCTGCTGAGGGCTGCCGACCCTGC